CCGGCAGCAAGCGCAGCACAGCAGGCTGACCCCTCACCCCCACTTTCCTTCGTTTCTGCTGCGGCTCTGAAACTGCAGCAGCGGGATCTGCTTCTGCTGCTGCTGCTTCTGCTGCTTCTGCAGCTGCTGATGCTGCTGCTGATGCTGGTGGTGTGTCTGCTGATGTGTCTGCTGCGTCTGCTACCGCTGCAGGCGGCGATCCTTTCGGATCTGCTGCTGCTGCTGCTGTTGCTGCTGCTGCTGCTGGTGCTGCTGCCTTTCCCGTTTCTGTTGGTTTGGGTGGTGATTCAGATGGTGATTTGCGTTGTGGGTCTGCTGCTCCAGGAGCTGCTGCTGCTTTTGTTGCTTCTCCTGCTGCTGCTGCTGCAGCTGCTGCTGCTACTTCTGCTACATCAGCTGCTGCTACTTCTGCTGCTTTTCCCTTCGTTGTCTTTGCTGCTGCTTCGGGGGCTGCAGCAGCCGCGTCACCACCAGACGATCCCCCCGCTGCATTTTGTGTAGCTTTACGCACGCTGGAGTCTGCTGCTGCTGCTGCTGCTGCTTTTGCTGCTGCAGCCTTTGGTGCTGCAGCTGTTGCTGCTGCAGCTGTTGACGCTGCGGCTGTTGGCGCTGCGGCTGTTGGCGCTGCGGCTGTTAGAGTTGCTGCTGCTGGTGCTGCAGCTGTTGGCGCTGCTGGTGCTGGCGCTGCTGCTGCTGGCGCAGCAGCTGTTGTTGCTGCTGCTTCCGTTGGTGCTGCAGCAGTTGCTGCAGCAGTCTTCCCTCCTNTGGCGCAGCAGCTGTTGTTGCTGCTGCTTCCGTTGGTGCTGCAGCAGTTGCTGCAGCAGTCTTCCCTCCTGTTTCGTTTGTTAGGCCTGAATGAACACAAGCAATTCAAGTGTATACTGAAATGAATTATGTATCAGCTGCTACGGCTGGGGTGTATGCAGAAGTAGCAGCGATCCCAGTGCTAAAAAGTACATAAAATAAAATAAAAACCTGTATTCAAGTATTTATGAATGGAATAGTGAGAAAGAACTGAATTAAATATGATATTTCTCGTGTTTACTGCTTACCGCCAGCATATTCAGAAACTTGTTGTTTGTTCACTTGTGAGCGAATCGATGGCTTTTCTGGCGGCTTCGTCTCAGTCGTTGCATTTCCTTTTTCTGTGTCATCAGCTGGCAACGACTTGGTGGAGGATTCCGCGCGATCCGCCAGTCTGCGTTTCGCGTTCAATTCCGATTCAAGTTCAGGAACCGACGGCGGCGGGCAGTCGTTCGGAGAGGAAGCTGCTACTTCCATGGCGCATCGAAAGTCTGTAGTTTAATTAAATAATATTTAAAGAAAAAAAAGGAAAAAAACTACCAACGGATCGCCGGAAATCGCTGGCGCGACGCGTTCAGGTTTCGCATCAAACGCACATGGCGGTCGGTAGGTAAGCAGACGGTGGAAGCCAGAGTGGAATTCAGAAAACAAGAAAAAAACTGAACCATATAAAAACGAAAATAAAATAAAAAAAGGATAAGTTGCAACGAAAAACTCTTGATATTCAACCTAACCGGTATGGTGTGATCGGAAACCTGCGCGAACGNATAAGTTGCAACGAAAAACTCTTGATATTCAACCTAACCGGTATGGTGTGATCGGAAACCTGCGCGAACGCAACTGACCGACGGTGTGCTGTTGTTCGGGTGTACGTACACCTCACGGGCCAACGTCTCCAAGCAAAAAATCTTTCAACTTCTTATGCGATTACTCTTTAATACACTTTAATGGATAACTTTTGCTGCGCCTCTGCAATGCAACCACCCAATGCCATCGGCTGCGCATGCAGAGAAAGCCCCCCAAATGATAATGACTCCACGAACAAAGCGAAAACTCTCGACTTTACATGTTGGATCCAGCTGTCTATGCCTCAATTTAGCGTTAACAATGTAAATCCCTTGCTGCCCCGAACTTATGCAAAAAACAGACGGGGAGAAGGGGGGAGTCTGACGATGGCTGGGACGATAGTTCCCGTCAGCTACGCGGAGAACCGCCATGAACTGCAATAGAGTCAAAACACTCGGGATCAGGGCTGCACCAAAGTGCCGTAGCCCCCCCTTACCAGTCTCCAGGCTACCGGGGCGGAGCAGCAGGAAGGCCCGAAGNCACCAAAGTGCCGTAGCCCCCCCTTACCAGTCTCCAGGCTACCGGGGCGGAGCAGCAGGAAGGCCCGAAGTTGCTGCGATGAAACAGTTGCCTGACACTAGTTGCCATTAAGCCTATACAGACCTCTGCTGCTAGGAAAACACGAATGCAGGCGTACACAAGGATGCAGCTGTAGACGATTGCTAAACACTGACTTCACCCTCACTAGCCAACTCACGTAGAAATAGGCCCACGAGATATACTATGTCACTGTTGGCCCTACTCCCACCTACCCTCGAACAACACACCCTCGTATCCCTATTTGTGTTGGTATGGATAGGTGGACGGATGAGAGGATTGCTACTGAATTTTCTGCTAATACAGCGCGAGTTGTTTATGCTGCTCCATGGGTTTCTCCCCCTGTTTCTTCTGCAGGTGTGCTTCCTCCTTCTGCTTTGCTGCAGTTGTTATTGCCAATCTTACTGCTGATGCTAGTGCTGCTACTTCTACTGTCTCTTCTGCAGCTGAAGCACCTTAGCACCACCACCACCACAGCTTGGCGAGGTGCTGCGAGTCGAGCCATCTCAATTTTAAATTCAAGCTGAGGCTCGTACGCCTGTATATGCTCCAAGAGATGCGGATGTTGTTTTTACACTGCTGCTGTTACTTGCGTAACAGATGCTCTTAGCTGCATTGCTCTGCGGCAGCACGAGCCTGACACAGGTCGCTGCAGCGCACTTTCCTGGGCTCAGACACTTCCAGCTCCGCAGGCAGACGCTACCTGTAAGTAGAGGTGGGGGCATAACGTAGAGCCAGAGAGTGCGTAGCTATAAAGATATGAGCTCTTGTATATATACAAATCATATCAACGGCCCACNTAGAGCCAGAGAGTGCGTAGCTATAAAGATATGAGCTCTTGTATATATACAAATCATATCAACGGCCCACAAAAGTTGTACGCGGATCAAATCTAAGCTAGACTATGAATGTAGCTGCTTGCAGCTTTGGCTGCGGCGGGAACGCGGTAACAAGATAGATATTCATGATGGATTGCTTCGTGCAAGTGATCCAAGTTCTGCTCTTATTCGGATGGTAGCCAGAAAGAATATCCCCAAATTATTGTCTTCGCAAGACCATTACGATGAAGTGCATGCATTTCTCCATCATTTCCGCCGGCGCTCGTTAGGCCTGCTGTTCCTTTCTTCGTGGGACAGTGATATCCCTCCTTTTACAGTAAAGGATAAGATTGTTGTTAACTGAGAGAAGATATGTATTCTCTGACTGCTTGTCAGTGTATATCTGAATGCGTGTTGTCTACTGGGTCACCCACGGAATGCCCAAGATTATATCGTCGTGAGCTAATCCAAAATAAAAGCTCTCTGCCAGTACCAGACACTGCGTTCTATGTTCGTTGCATTTTCCACCCATAGCTTTATCTTTTTTTCTCCGCTGTCTACGACCAGCGAAGCGCAGACTCCGTCAAATTAATAAACAATCTATGTTGCACCTGCTCGCCGTGTCTTCAGAAGTGAGCTCCACTTATCAGTCTGTGTCAAGGATTGGTAGAAGTTTCTAAGCAAAGTGAATTTAGGTAATTAGATAGTTGACTCGGGGCAGTTTCGCGGGTGGGGCTGTCACCTCTTTTGGCATGACCACAGCCCCACGCATCCTTTGGGGATTCAGGACGTTTCCGGATCGCTTTGTTTGTTTTTGTTCGTTTGGGTGGCGGTGCTAGAACCTCCCAGAACACAGTTGGATTTCGCTTCATAAAGATGGTACACTTCTCGATGTGGCGCTCTATCGATAGCTTCCTCTGCTTAGGTTTTTACAGTCCTGGCATAGCATGTTCCCCTGCCGACGTGGCGACAGTCGTACCTCACAACGCGTCTCGCAGTTAGGATACGCTCTGACGAAGTGGTGCCCTGCTCAAATAGACACACCAGTCACCTTCCTCCCCTTTCAATAAAATTTATACCGAGAACAAGCGTATATCTTCGTGCGCAGCTTGAAGGCCAAAGTACACTTCTAGCGAAACAACATATTCCTCCACTGCCCATGTACCATATCAACCGTCATATATAATCCAACAACAGAGAGTGAAGCATTTCACATGAATTCTCTTCGCTGCAAATACATTTTTCAGACGTCTAACAAGCAAATATTGTCATTGCTTCAATGCGACGAGGAGCCCTGCCGTCGCTTGCCTCCTCACTGACCGACAGATCCTAACCAGTATACACTATGCGTGAAGAGAAAGTGGCTGAAGTTTCGATGATATTTTACGGCGAATGTGTAGATTTATTTTTCATTCAACTTTTTGGCTAAGTGCCCTCAATACCTCACACTGCTACACACCAGGCCACCTGGCAGTGGGGGCGCCGTTCGCTGCTCGCCTCTATAACGATAAACATTTCGGGGGCTACCGAGTAAAGCGAGGAACATGAATATTAGCTAAGGAGTGTCATGAACTACAATAGACTCAGGAAAAGACATCTCCAAGAGCAAATCGCATGCAGTGCAGTCCTTAGGCACCCCCAGCATACAGGCCCAAGGGCCTGGAGCTGCTCTGTAGAGGAAGTGGCCAGTCATGAGTTGTTGCTTAGCGGCATGCACCCCTTGTTACCAAGCAATCCCCAGTACATATATCTACAAGCTCCGTTTGCTTCTTATCATAACACCATATGCATGTATTCAACACTTACACGACCTTCCACAACAAACACAAGTACATGTTTACGGACAGAGTCCAGTGTAGCAGGAGTCCTCGATCTTATTCGAGGACTGTTGAGAGCTGCAGTGGAGTCGAAATAGCTACGATAAGAGCTTTCGAAAATTAGCTGAGATCCGCTGCAGGCGGGCTGGGCCGAAGGGTTTGCTGCCGCGGGGTGAGCTGAGTTGAGTTGTTGCAAGTCGTGCAAGACACAGCAACCCCACATGCAAGCAGAACCAATTCCCCTTTGTTGCACACACTAGAGCGATATACATTTGTTGAACACTTATTTATCCTTCGGTAGAGACCCTCCAAGCAAGTGTAAACAAAGGTAAGCCTACGGCTTTCACACAGGCCATGCTGCACGCAGACAAGGCTTGCTGCACCTGTCGCACAGTCAAACCACCACGAAAGGACTAACCAAGCGGCAGCAGGTGCAAGAAGCAACTCTTGTTATACACTACTTGGCCTCCAGCAGCCAACACACACAAACATAGACGGGCGCACCAGCTTCTGTAGTGCGCCTTACACACCGCTACTACGAAATACCACTTTTGTTGAATTCGGAGGTTGTTTGTTTTTGCTGCTCACTGCCTTTAGTTTTATTCAAATGAGTTTATGGACAGAGCCCCCTTTGCTTAGGTGCAGTTTCTTCCTCTCATACTCATATGTCCACTGTATAGACACCGTGTTCAATACTATACAGGTTGTATACAGGTTGTTTCGCTTAAAGGGAGCTGAAGAAGAGAGAGCTGGCTGTAGAAGGAGATATAGATATGAAACGAATAAAAAGGAAAAGAAATGAATTTTGTTGAATAGAGCATAAAAGGGAGTTGTTGTGTAGAGAGGGTTGTTCGCGTGCGTACACGTATCCACGGTGTATTCATGTTCAGGTTTCGTCTGCATGCATAGGAAAAGTAAGTTGTTTTTTATGGATTTAAATGTATTTTTTGAGTTTTAATAATGAATATTAATTTATATTTTAGTGCAAAAACTCCTAATACCCCTAGAAAGACACACACTCCAGCTCCGCATGCCGCCGGCGGTGAGGTGTTGTTGTATTGACGCAGCCGAATGCAGAGATGGAAAGCTAAAGGAAGCTGGGGGAATACAGAGCCTTGAGAGCGATCTTCTGTGTATTTGTTGTCCTTATGAATATTTCTTGCCAATAGTAACTCATTGAAACTCCTATTCGTTTATTTTATGAGAGAATTCCACTCTTCACGAGCTGCATATACACCCCAGGTGTTGTATGTATGTATGTATGTATGAATGTCCGACGGCCAGCCCGGCCTGTTGCGACCCCATTTCCTCTCCTTCTTCTTTCATTCATTGTTTCTTTCTTTAAGACAATACCTCGGGAATACACTTGAGACTCTTTCAGATAGCCTCGACGAGCGGCACCTCTCCGCCTGTTCCTTCTTTCTTATTCTCTCTCCCGCCTGCTGCTTGTTTCTTGTCT